TTTTTTTTTTTTTTTTTTTTTTTGTCTTATGAGCATTTAATATTCAAGGAGTCTTGAGGCTTTGGGAAGCCTTTGATTAGGGACAGGATAGACTAAGAACTGGGTTCAGCCTTCTTTGTATCACTTAATTTTGAAACCCTCTTGCTTTAGATAAATGAGTTTTAAAAAGGACTATTTGACATGGTTGATGTGGTTCTTTTGAGAAGGCAAAAGAAATCATTGTTTGAATTGAAGTATTTCCAAGATAAAGGCAGCCAGGAAGCTTTGAAATGTATATTTTATGTATTTTGAAATGGGCACGCAGGCCCTTTGGAGGCATGCTTGATGCCATTTGAAAAGATCCAGTGCTGTGTTGCTGTCCCCACCTGCAGTCTTCCAAGGTTTATGCATTATGTGGTCGTTTTGCTTGGAGACGCTGCGATGGGTCTGGTCCCCCCTGTGAACCCTGCAGCTTTATTGGCAGCAGCCTGGGACCATTTGGCGCTTGGAATGAAAATGTTGGTTTATGCTAAAGCCAGAGGAGCAGAGACCATGGCTCTTTTCATATTATAATGACACCTAATTTCTCTAGCAGAAAAGATTGCTGTTTGCTTGTGTGATTTGTAAGTATTGGGAGAGCAAAGACCTCAAATCCAGATTTGTAGTTGAGTCATTATATGCAACACTCCCTAGAGTATAGAGCTTGTGTGTGCAGTGGGGTGGGTTCCTTTCCCTTGTGATCTGCCAAGTGCCCAGTGGCCCAGGGACAGACTTCAGGCTGGGCTCTGTCCTTGTGATGCACCATTCCCGGGATTCTTCTATTTGCAAGCCCCATGCCCACCAACCCCCACCAATTCCAGTCAGGTCACGAGGTCTTGGGTCAGCCCCTTGTGCCTTCCTGGCACCCAGAACTCCACAGTCCTACCTCGCTTGTCCAGGTGACTTCAGAGGACTTATTATTTTTTATTTTATTTTATTGAGAAACAAATAGCAATGAGACAGTTTCAAAACTGATTAATAGGACAATTTCAATAATTAATACATTGTACATTGCTATCTTCTTAGTGGTTATCCATAGTACAAGATGCAGACAGAATATCCTGTGCAAACACTATTGGTACAAATCTTTCTTCTCATTGAATTAAGCGAAAGTAGCTGTCTATCTATCCTAACTGTTCTGTATATGCAGATACAAAATGGTCCTTCCTTTGTATCCCCTTTTTTGTTTAGTCCTGTCAGAGATGGGTATTCCATTGGCATCTAAATACTATAGGTGCAGGGGCTGGTGAGATGGCTCAGTGGTCTAAAGCACCTCCTTGGAACAAGCTTAGCGAAGCCCAGGGACCACGGTTCAATCCCCCAGCACCACATGCCAGCCAGCCCTGCCCCCTGGTGGGTTGAGCTGGCCACACACACACACACACACACACACACACACATAAATAAATAAATAAAAATTAAATACTATAGGTGCATATTAAGGAGAAACAACATTGGTTCCTACACAACGTCGATTGATACAATTCCCATTGATTTGCATAAAATGTCTAAGAAACTGGTAATAGCAACAGAAGAAACTATAATAGCTACGCCTTGAAGGTGTAAAGGTGGATTTAGTTAGTACTAGCGGGAGAAAGGAAGTAACTACAGAAATGGAGCTCCTCAGTGTGCTCTGTCGTGTCCTGGCTGTTAAACAATGTTGAATTTTTTTCTCTGTCTCTTCTGGCTTGATTTCATCACTTTCCTCCATCGCTTTTCCCAGTGATTAGTTGAATCAGAGTGATTTTTATCGTGCTCGTCCTCTAGTTGAATTACCCTCTGCTATGCAATTATCTTATCACAGAAAGACCTATTTTCTCCCCGTCAGATGTCTGAGGTAAATGTGAGACCTAAAGTGGCCTGCCCATTACATAACCTCTGGCATCTGCTTGGTAATGGACTACATGTAACTTTTTTTTCCCAGGCTGGCAAATTATAAATAACCTCAGCTTCCATAATTACCCTGAACATAACGGTGCCAGTGTTGTGGCGGCATTTCTTGACGACGTTTCCTAGCACTTTCTAATGCTGGGGGTGGTTTAAAGGCTTTTTTCAGATGCGCTTGGAGGCCCGCTCTGGGCTGCGTGGTGTAGCAGTGCCACCACTGGCTTTTGAACCCAGCACTTGT